TTATAAAGAGATCTTATAAATAATATTTTCTCTTTTAAATTACTACTTTATTTAATACTTACTTTTATTCGATATTATTATAAAGTAAATCTCTCGCTATATAAATTCTATAATAAAAAAAAAAGATATTATTATTTATTATATGTAAGTCTTCGAAGAATATAGAGTTTAATATATTTAGAAAAAGATATCGTAGATAGAAAAGCTCTCTAATATTTAAATTAATATAAATTTTTTTTAATAGTATATCTACGTCTCTAACGTAGACTTTATTTAAATATATCTTATTAATTCTTTTTTTAGATATATTACTTTAATAGATTAATATAGAAAAACTCTTCTATTTATCTTCGCTATTAATATTATTAATTTAATTTAAAAAAGATTATTAGTTTAATTTAATATTTATATATTATATCGACTATCTAATTTAAATTATTATTATTATTATATATTATAAGTAAAGGTCTATGAATTAAATTCATGAAGTTGAATTTTTCTAAGTTAAATCGAATTTTAGCTCTAGTTCTAAGTTAAATCGAACTCTAATCGCTTACTATACGTTTTTAATCTACTTTTATTACTATAAAATTAATTTAATCTATATAATATATAGATATATATATATGAAGAGAGGCGCGCTAAGGTCTAATTAGAAAGGTGTATTAAGTGTAAAGTAATTTATAATAATTATCTATAAAAAATAGAGAAAGACTATATTCTTATAATAAGAAGTATCGAAATATTAAAAAGAAATGAAGATAACGTGCTAATTAGTAATGTAAATCTTATAATATCTTCTATCGTAATAAAATTTTTCGAATAATGAAATAGCTATAGATATCAAATAATTTCAATTCATTTAAATATATATCGTTCGATATTTCTTCTATAGAGGTTTAATTAACTATAATCGTCGTAGTAGATTCTTCTCTTATAACGTTATTATAGTAATATATTATATTAATATAATAGAGATAATAGATTAAGTTATAGTAATATTCTTCGCTTACTAAGTAATAATTTAATATAGAATCGTAGAGAGTATATAACGTGGGATCTTAAAGAGCTAAGCCGTGTTCTTAATACTAGAGATCTTATTATTACTTAATTTCTTCATAGTATTCTCCGCATTTATCTATTATAATTTCTTCTTTTACTTTTTCTTTTATAGAGTATTAGATTAAGTAACTAACTAAGTAATTAATTAAGTAAATAACTAATATAATATAAAATCTTAAAGAGCTAAGCCGTATTCTTGATGATGGTAATCTTATTACCGCTTAATTTCTCCGTAGTATTCTTCGTAGTATTCTTTATAGTATTCTCCGCATTTACTTATTATAGTTTCTTCTCTTACTTCTTCTCTTATAGAGTATTAGACTAAATAATTAACTAAATAGCTAATTAAATAAATAATTAAGTAACTAGTTAATAATTTAATTAAGTAAATTATTAAGCTAATAGAGTAGATAGTATTAATTAAGCGGCTAATCGAGTAGTATATAAAAAAAAACGATAATTATAAATTCGTTCGAGCTCTTTTTAAGAGCTTTCTAACGCGTTTATAAGTAGTAGTAAGTAGCTATTAAGCTCGCTTACGACCTCGATTATTAGTAGTAATAAATTCGCGTTAATAGAGGCTCTAAGAGGCGAGTAAAAGGGGTATATATGCCTAAAGCATTTAGTAATATTTCTATAAGAGATATCGAGAACGATTATATTTATATTAATAAAATTAATAGAATTAATAGAGTAATAAAAGAATAATAATTATATAAATAAATAAATAGATAAAAGAATTATTATTTAATTTCGAACGCGTTTAATATAACTATTATATTTAAATATTTATTTAATCTATTAATAGTAAATTAAACTTTAAAATTTTTATATCGTTAGAAAGTATAAACCAAGGTTTATAATTTATAAAATTATAAAGTAATAATATTCGTAGAAAGCTAGTTATTTTAGAGTATAAAACTTCTATATATAAATTTTTAATAAGAAAGTTTAAGAGAGCTAGCGGGCTAATTTATTTATTTAATTAAAGAGCGTAGTAACTCTAAATTTATAATTAGCTATATATATAAATTTAAGATTTTATAGCTTAATTCTATTTTATTCTATTATATATACTAATATTATATTAATTTAAAAAATAAATAAATAATTATTTAATAGAAAAATTATAATTATATAATTTAAAGTTAAAAATTCTTTAATAGACTTTTATAGAGCTTATTTACTATATATCTTAATACTTTTAAATCTTATTTATCTAATCTAAATCTATATTATCTTAATTTATATTATTTTTATACTCTATTCGAAAACTAGCTTAATCGCTATTCTTATAAATATATTTAAAAATATATTTATAGATTTTAATATTAATATTAATATTTATATTAATATATTAATAAATAGAGATTATAAAATATTATTTAATAATTCTATTTAGATTTATTATCTAATATCTTAATAGATTTATATTAATAATATATAAAATATTTAAAATCTAATTTAAAGATCATATAATTATTAAAGTTCTTTAAAAAATAATTATTATATATATTCTTATTTAAATTCTAATAAAATAAAATAATATTTATTCTACTAATAATATACTAGTTATAATTCTTATAAAATATATATTTAATAATAATTATATAGAGATTAAGAAATAGATTTTAATTAGAGATCTTAATATTAATTATAATATTTATCTTAGCGACGCTAAAGAATTAATTTTTAAAATATAATATAATAAGAATATAAATATATAATAAATTTTATTTTTAAAATTCTATAATATAAATATAGATAAAAACTTAATCTATTATTTATAAAATTAATTAAAATTAAAATTAATTAATATTTTAATTAATTATACTTCGTCTTTATAGAGATAAAGAATTTTTTTAAATAATATATAAGATTAATTAATAGAAATTATAATATATAGTAAGTTAAATTATATTAAAAGTACTTTTAAAGATTATAATCTATATTAATTATTTAATTTATATATTATTTAAAAAATTACTTTATTAAATAAAAAGAGAGAGAATTATTATATTATAATAATGAATAAAAAAAAAAAAAATATATTTAATATTTTTTTTTTTAAATATTATTTATAAGAGTTTTTAGCTTTAATTTAAATATTCTAATAATTAAATTAAGTCGATTAGTAATCTATTTATTAAATAGAATTTTTTTAATAATTTTAATATATTTTAAATTATAAATAAAAGTTATAATGAGATTTAATTAATCGAATTTAATAAATAGAGTAATAATATTTTAATAGAGTTATTTTATAAATTATAGATCTTCTTAATAGAAGAAAGAAAGAACGATATATTATTTACTAATCTAATTACTTATAATAGCTTTATTAATATAAATATTAATAATTATTTAATAAATATTAATCTAAATAATCTTCTAATTTATTTTTAATTAATAAAATTTATTACTTTTAATAGCTATATAGATATTATAAATAAAATATTATAATAATTTATTATAATAAAAAAAGTAATTAAATTTATTAAAATAATTCTATATTATATATCTATAAGAAATTAGCGATTAATAAAATAAAATAAATAAATAGTATAGGTCTATAATATAAGATAAACGTTATTTATATAAAGCTATCTCGATTAATAATTTCTCTAATTTATAAAATAGCTTTATTGTTTTTACTTTACTAGATAAGAAGACTTCTATTTAATATATTATTATATTACGAGTAAAGGCCTATGAATTAAATTTATAATCATTTTTTTTATTAGAGTTATCGAGTAAATAGGTGAGCGGGCTATTCGACTGTCGAGCGAACTTTGGTGAGCGATATTTAGATTCCTTGCTTATTAATAACTATAGGATCAAATTTTAAAACTCTTAAAAAGTTGGAAAGCGCAAATAACGCTCTATAATTTAAAAAAGAAATCTCAAAATTTCAATAGAAAATAAAAAAGTTATTCTATTCGTAAATAATATACATCTATTTTTGATAAGGGAGACGCGGGAGAGCGAGATTTTGATGGTTGCGGACGCTAATTTATTTATCCGCGATGACTTAGTCGGTCTAATTAAAGAGCGTAGCTCGCGGGTAGCAAAAAAGCCCGTACACTCTAAATTATTCAACAGGCTCGCAACTTATCAGCCACGATGATAAGGAAAAAACCTTTGCGGTCCAAAGAGTAGAATAGACAATCTAAAGAGTTCTCATACCCGAGTTATCAACAAAAATAAATTCGTTGCGAAATTATCAAGACCTACGTAGTGTAAAGGTGTACGGGCTTTTTTGCTACCCGCGAGCGTAGTAACCCTAAATTAATAATTGGCTACATATACAAATTTAAGATTTTCAAGCTTAGCTCTATCTTATTCTTTTATATATACTAATAACTATCTAATAAATAAGAAGATAAGAGAATAGCGTAAGAGTATATAAATTAAATACTAATATAAAATATTAAATCTCTTATTACTTTAAGTCTCTATTAATATATTCTTAATCTTAGATATATATTAAGAAATAATATAATGTAACTCATATATATAATATAATATAAAGATGTTAATTAATCTATATAATCTATAGATATATATATACGAAGAGAGGCGCGCTAAGGTCTAATTAGGAAGGTATATCGAGTGTAAAGAATTAATTCGTAACAATTGCCCACAAAAAAACAGAGAAATGCCATGTCCTTATGGCAAGAAGTATGCATATATGATTCTTCGAATGTCGGAAATAAATGGAGATGCCAGACTAATTAGTGGTATGTATCCCACGAGTTCTCCTACCGCAGTGAAACCCTTCGAATAATGAAATGGCTATCGAAGCAAGATATCGGACGGTTTCAATTCGTCCAAATATGCACTATTCGATCTTCCTCCTGATCTTCCTCCTATAGTAGCTCAATTGGCTGTGATCGACGTAGTAGATCTTCCTCTTATATCGTTATTGCAGTGATGTATCATAATGTGATATTGCCTAGGCATGCAGAGATGATAGGCCAAGTTGCAGTGGTGTTCTCCGCTTGCTGAGTGATGATTTGACGTGGGATCGTAGAGAGCTGAGCCGTGTTCTTGACGATGGTGGCCTTGTTGCCGCTTGATTTCTCTGCAGTGTCCTCCATAGTCTTCTCCGTAGTCTTCTCCGCAGTCTTCTCCGCATTTGCCTATTATAGTTCCTCCTCTTACTCAACTGAGTGCTTTGGCTAAGTGGCTGACTGAGTGGATAACTAAGTGAATTGGTGAGCTGGCTGAGTGGCTTGTAGAGACCTTCTCGTATATTGCTGACGAGTCTTCTGATTCCGGTGCTTCTTTTTCTGCTATATTGCACGTATAAATGGATACTTCGGTGATTGAGTAGCGGGAAGAGGTAATGTTAGTCTCAGTGGCCTCACGCAGTGAGTCTAAGTAGGAAACCGTGTCAAGCCTCATTTTTTTGATTGTTTGGCTGATATAAGATATTTACCTCTAGATATATATTAGTATTAATAAATTTCCGAGTAGCTATTACCTCGAAGCGAGTTACCTCGAAACTATTTTAAAGAAATTTAGTAATCTATAACTTCGATATATTATTATTTAATAATCGAACTATTACTTTTTATAAAAATTTATAAATATATTCTTAATATATATAATAATAATATATCAAATTTTCTAAATAAAATATTCGAAGTCTTTAAAGATATTAAGCTTTTTAATTTCTTTCTAAAAGTTTTAAAAGAATATAATAATTGAATATATTAATAAAACTTTATATATCTTTACTTATATCTGTAAATTTTTAAATAATAATTTAAAATTATAAATTATTTAATAAATTACTTAAGATAATAGCTTAGAAAAATAACTTTTAAGTAAAAATTTAATAAGTATTATTTTAAAAAATCTATTCGAGTATATTCTATAATAATATTTTAAAATAAATTTATAAATATAACGAGTATTTTAAGATTATTTTTAGAATTTTCTCGATATACGTTAAAGAATAAGAGAGGGGTTAAAAATATAGTTTTTAAAACTCTAATTTAAATCTTCTAAAAATAATTAATTAAGATATTTTATTAAAAATCGAAAAAAAAATCTAATTCTATAATATTTAAATAGTTATTTTATAGAATTTTCTTTTTATTAGAGTGCGTAGTAAAAAGTTATATATAAAAGAAACTATTTATTTTCTATTTCGATTAATTTTAATAAGAATCTTATATAAAATAACGTTTAATATAGCGATTTTAGGATTTTCTACTTAAACTCTAAAGAGAGAGTATATCGTAATAAGCTTATAATATAATTAGTCTTCGAAATAAGAAATGAGTATAGAGCTAGTTATAGAATAACTCTCTAAGCGAGTCTAAATACTAAGACTAAGATAATATAGACGCTAGAGTAAGTAACGTAGGCCTAGATCTTATTTCGACTATTCTAGTATTTATTCTTCTTTTATAGTAGTTATATAAGTAGCTATAATAGTAGTTATATTAGTAATTATATTAAGAATAATTCGCTACGTTATTACTTCTAGCTCTAATATACGTTATTACTTTTAATCTCTCGTAGAGCTAGATATAATAAGATCGATAGATCTATTAAAAGAATCGATTTAAACGATATTAAAAGATACTCGATAACGCGAGTATATTAAAGAGTCGACTTAGAGCGTTATACTATTAGATATTAATATAGACTTTATATAAACGTCTAATAACGCCTAGATATTCTATAAAGTAAAGCTAGATATTACTATTATTTATTAAGAAATAATATAATATAACTTATATATATAATATAATATAAAGATATTAATTAATCTATATAATTTATAGATATATATATACGAAGAGAGGCGCGCTAAGATCTAATTAGGAAGGTATATCGAGTATAAAGAATTAATCTATAATAATATATCTAATAAATTATTAATATTACTCTTTTAGATAATAGCGATTTTATCTAAAATAAGATAATTATAGATATATAAGTTATAATATTATAGATTCTTATAAAATAGTTTATAGTCTCTTATATTTAAATTAATCTTTAATCTTATAAATATTAATTTAAAAGTATTAATATAGAGATTAATATTTTTAAAAATTATAGCTATTTTATAATAAAGCGTTTAATTAATATAATTATAATAGCTATATCTAATAAAGTTAATATAGAAGATATAATTAAGAAAAAGTTATATTATATTATAGACTAATCTTAAATATTATTTATAATATAGATTTAATTAAAAATCGATTTTTCGCTCTCTAGAGATACTAAGATAAGTATATAAGTAGTAATTATTTTCTAGATTTTATATATATATAAAGCGATTAAATAATTAATAATAATCTATTATAAGATTATAGAGATTATATTATTATATTAAACGCTATAGTAATAGAATTTTTTATAATTATTAATAAAATTTAAGATCTTTAATATTAAAGAATAAAGAATTTAATTAATAATATACTCGCTAAGATTAATCGAATTATTTATATATATTTTAATATCTTTATAATTTTATTCTATATTATCTATTTTTTAATTAATATTTATTTTAAATATATTAACTTTAATCTTTTCGCTATTATAGTATTATTTAACTATCTTATCTTTTTATAACGTTATATTATAGCTATTATAAATCTAATTTATAGAATTTAAATTATATTATATAAGCTCTATAATATATAAATAACGCGTAATATAATTAACGAGTCTTACTAAAAATTAAGTAGAATTTAAATAAAAGTTAAATAATGAATTAAAAAAATATAAGCTATTAAAAGAGTTATTATTAAAGAAATCTATTAATAAATTTTATAATAAAGAGTTTTTAATAGCGTTTTTCTCTTATTTAAAATCTTCTTTTTAATAATATTTAAGATTTAATATATATTAAAAGATTTTAAAATAGAGTAATAAAGAATAAATAGAAGAGAAAGACCCGTTTTAAGAGATAATATCGCTAAATTAAAAGATATTATTACTAAATTAAGAGGAAATTATAAAAGAGAATATATTTATTTAGACTCTTTTTAAAAGTCTTTTAACGCGTTTATAAATAGAAGTAAATAGTTATTAAACTTATCTACGATCTTAATTATTAGTATTAGCGAATTTATTAAAAAGCGATTTAAAGACGTTAATAAAGGCTCTAAAAGAGAGATAGAAGATGTTACGAATATAGTATACTTTAGAGAATTCTTACTATTCAGATAGAGGTTTACGCTCTTTTAGCCCTACGGTTAGCAATAAAGCACGCTTTCCGTAATAAATGATAGTAATATCGATTCGACTTCGAATGTAATCCGGATAGTTTAAATAGGTTATTTAGCTCGTATAGTATATTAATAGCACGCTAGGCTTATAAACTAAAGAAGAAGTATTTAAATTCTTTACGAAGCATTAAGTTACAAGTAGCTTACGGAGTTATATTCGAGAAGTTTCTATATATAATATACATATAGGCCAGCGTATAAGAATATGCGTTATTTTCGAAGTATATAATTATTACGAATATAGTATACTTTAGAGAATACTTGCTATTTAGATAGAGGTCTATACTCTTTTAGCGCAACGATTAGCGATAAGGCACGCTTTTCGTAATAGAAGAGATATATATACTTTATAGATCTAGTAATATAAAAGCGAGAGATAGAGAGAGTAAATATATTTATATTAATAGAATTAATAGAATTAATAAAGTAATAAAGAAATAATAATTATATAAATAGATAAAAAGATTATTATTCGATCTTAAACGTATTTAATATAATTATAATATTTAAATATCGATTTAATTTATTAATAGTAGATTAAACTTTATAATTTTTATATCGTTAAAAAGTGTAAACTAAGCTCTATAATTTATAAAATTATAAAGTAATAATATTCTTAGAGAGCTAGTTATTTTAGAGTATAAGACTTCTATATATAAATTTTTAATAAGAAGATATAAAAGAGCTAGCGAGCTAACTTAGTCGATTTAAGTAAAGAGCGTAAATCTAATAAATTTATAATTAATTATATATATAGATTTAAGATTTTCTAATTTAACTCTATCTTATTCTTTTATATATACTAATTATAAAAAAAGAATAAAAAATTATTATTTATTATATATTATATATAAGTCTTCGAAGAATATAAAGTTTAATATATTTAAAAAAAGATATTATAGATAGAAGAGCTTTTTAGCGTTTAAATTAATATAGTATATTCTTATAATAATATCTCTACATCTCTAATATAAACTCTATTTAAATATATCTCGCTTATTCTTTTTTTAGATATATTACTTTAATAGATTAATATAAAAAAAATTTACTTATCTTTATTATTAATATTATTAATTTAATCTAGTATTTATATATTATATTAATTATCTAATTTAAATTATTATTATTATTAAATATTATATTATATTAATTCGAAAGATAGATAAATAATTATTTAATAGAAGAATTATAATTATATAATTTAAAGCTAAAAATTCTTTAATAAATTTTTATAGAGCTTATTTATTATATATCTTAATACTTTTAAATCTTATTTATCTAATTTAAATCTATATTATTCTAATCTATATTATTTTTATACTTTATTTAAAAATTAACTTAATCGCTATCTTTATAAATATATTTAAAAATATATTTATAGACTTTAATATTAGTATAAATCTTTATATTAATATAAATATTATACTTAGCTAATAAATAAAGATTATAAAATATTATCTAATAATGTTACGAGCGTACCCTTAACATACCACTTAGCTCTATGACCTAGTGCCTTGGCAGAAGGCATCCCCTACTATATTATATCTCCTTCCCACCTATATAGTTCGATAGCCTTATTATTCTAGTTCTACCTCACTCATACTAATATCGCATCTATGCTGGTCCTGACAAATAATTCTATTTAAATTTATTATTTAATTCTTTAATAGACTTATATTAATAATATATAAAGTATTTTAATTTAATTTAAAGACGATATAATTACTAAAGTTCTTTAAAAATTATTTATTATATATATTTTAATCTAAGTCTTAATAAAGTATAATAATATTTATGTTATTAATAATATATTAATTATAATTTTTAGTAAGTATATATCTAATAATAATTATATAGAGATTAAAAAATAAACTTTTATTAGAAATATTAATATTAATAATAATATTTATTCTAGTTATATTAAAGAATTAATCTTTAAAGTATAATATAATAAAAATATGAATATATAATAAATCTTATTTTTAAAATTCTATAATATAGATATAGATAAGAACTTAATCTATTATTTATAAAGTTAATTAAAATTAAAATTAATTAATATTTTAATTAATTATACTTCGCTCTTATAAAGGTAAAAAAAAAATTATAGAGTTAATTAATAGAAATTACGACATATAAGAGATTAAACTA